TCACGCTGTTCAAATACCATGAAGTCTTTTCTTGCCTTCAGAATCATGAACACAAGGATATTCTTGTATTTTCAAAACGTTCTTACTCTGAAACTTTGGTAAAAAAACACCTAGTTTACGACAGCGATTTTGTTTTGCCGGCTTTATATTCAACGCCTAGCGCGGTGAATATAACGTCACACTAAGCTTCAGGCTGTTGCTGTTGTTTTAAGGCTGAATCTCTACACAAAAGAAAAACTTCTGTGTCATATTTCTCTTTCCAATCAATAGAATGTACGTGCCTCCCGGCAGCGTACTACATTTGAACGAGTTGTCAAAGACGGGTCCTACCCTCGGTTATGGAAAAATTATTGTCCCAAGGATATCAGTAGTTATCAGTGTAACACACGATCTTCATGTGTAAATGACTTTATTCCTGCCACTGGTCCTTCTTTTAACGATGGATAATAACTTCTACCTGAATCATCTTTACTTTGAAAGCCTGTCAAAACTGTTTGGACGTGAAATTTTGCCTTTAGTGTTAGCTGTTGTTTCTGTTCGTCGCTTTTGTCGTAGGCCATTTGCACTTAGCCTCCCCGCAGACGTCCTTTGGGGTTCGTTTGTCACGCATTCATTTCTCCCATGAATGCGTGACAAACGAACACCAAAGGACTTCTGCGGGGAGGCTAATTTGCACTGAGAGGTCATGTGACATGGTTTTTATGAAAATAAAAGTTGTATGATTTTGCCTTCGAAAAACGATTAGTGGGTCATATCTTAAACAAAATAATAGGGATTTGAGTTTTCAGACCCGCACCATTTTCTGAAAGTGAGTAAGTTCGTAGCTGGTCACGTCACCGAAATGTAATTTTTAAAATTATGAATTACCTCTTTCTGAACACAAATTTTGCACTCAAACTTCAAAGAAAATGTTGAAAAGATGACGTGGTAACGTTTTCAGCACATCTGAGCGTAACTATCAAACGTTTAACAAGATATAAGAAAAAAGTAGTTTTGGCCGCAATGTTGGAGGGCAAGAGTATGCCCTCCAACACAACATGGCGGCCGAAACAAGTCATACTAGTTTGTTGAAAAATCAAAGTGCCATAAAATATCTCCCTTAAATGCGTTTCCTCTAAAACTTCGGGTGTTAGATAATTTTTCTGTGCTCTGTCAATTTTTGGCAGGAAGCATTGGTCACGTGACCTCCTAGTGCAAGTGGCCTATTCAGAACACTTCATATAAATATTAAGGTGGCTCGATACAGTTTTTCAGGGTCAATATCTCTTAATTTTGAGCATAAACTACGTCGCCAAAAACAAAGTTTTGGAAAAATTGCTACCACAGTTGTATTAGATGAAGATGAAAATTTGTTATGATCAGGGTTGCAACGGCATCGGAGTTGTCATAGCAACGAAATGACGCTATTACCTATTTTACTTGCAGCAGTATATCTCGGTACTGGGAACTGTTCTCCGAAAATCTTTCACGGGAGCTTTTTCCTCCAATAGTAGCCTCGATGTTCGTGAAGTTTAAGCGAGCTTAAGTAAAATAAGGGCTACAATTCGTTACTTTTTTATCGGAAGTTTCGTCATTACAAGTGAAAGCCTCTAATTATTTAAGGCATTGTCTCCAAGTTTCATGTTCACGTGAACAGTAGTAACAATGCATTTGAAATATGCAAATATGCTGGTTATTGTTGTGCCCGAAAATATGAAACTTGGACACAATACCCTGAATAATGAGAGGCTCACAATTGTAAACACAAAACGTCTGCCAAAATATTTGTGAATTGTAACCCTTATCTCACTGCCTTACAATATATCAATAATCTTGAAACTTAAAGGTCATATAAAAGGAGGGCTAATCTCAAGAATCTTAAATTTTTTAAAAAATCTATCGAGCGCTTTAAAAATTATTCGCCAATTTGTTAAAGTAGACCAAAATGTTAAAAAAACCGCTAACACGAGCGCCTCGATACATACTAATCAAATCCTTCTGTCTAGCAATCGGCTGGAGCTATCTCCTTGATCTTTGACACAAGTTTTTAAAAAGATTGAAACTACTATTCGGTGAAATCGCATGTCAAAAGCGCTTCGTTTTCTACAGATAACAGCCGAACACCAAGATTGTCCATTTTTTACCGTATTTCTAACCACAAAATCTTTATCTCAAAATATCTCGATAACGCTCTTACAGATTTCGCTTAAACTTAAGGACCACGAGGCTGCTATTGGAGGAAAAAACTAGACTACGAGTAGTCCCCCATTTTTCCTCAGGGTTAGTAGGGCGAGCAAAACGTGAGCTCGCGTGAAAATCACCCCACGCGAGAAAAGGCGACACGCGGCGGGGAGAGAGAAAAATGAGGGACTACAGACAAAGCCCAAGCTTTTGACCCTTCACGGCCGACTGATTTTGGAGTGCGAAGTTCGTATCCCCTTCCAAATCAATTAAGCGCATCCAATGGAATTCCTTCCCTTATTGAGCTGTCATTGCTCTTGTCATCGGTAAACTGCGGGGGATATTTATAATTATTGCAAGCAAAAGAAAACCCAGATACTAATTTTCTTCACGGCTGTTTGGCGCGACGATTTTGTTAGTGTAGGCAACACACGACTTTTACTCATGCCAAAATACTGCTTGTTCCAATGAATTTTTTTTTCTCTGACGAGTAGATTATGCTCTGGAGGAAAGCGTTTTGACTGAGCAAATGTGATTTTTGCCGCCTATTTCATACTGAGAGGTCGTGACACGCATATTAATTTTCTGTGATTATTGTTTATGGTTGGCATGATTTGCCCTCTGATGCAAGAGAGTTTTCTTTGACCTCTTTTGAAAAGTAAAGCTCTTCAATGCGGCCAAATAAGGGTTTGGGGTTGTTTAATTTCTCCGGCGATTGCCTCCTGGATCTGAATAATTTTAAGCGATTTTCTTTTTGGCGTAAATGTGACGGTTTCCTGCAATGTCTTGTCACGCTGGGCCCAGCTCGTTAGCTTTTTTTGGCAGAACGGATAGTTATATCCAAATCTCGAAGAATGGATTGCAGCTTAAACTAAAACTACATTAACTATGGAGAATTGCGATGTGACTCAGTCATGACTGCTCATGAATTTTAACTGCCGCTTGTTTTTCTGGAGATTATGTGAGTCTTTGGACTGGAGCACGTAGTTCCTCCCTTGGTGATACCTTTTGAATTAGCTTAACAGCCTTGCGACTGTTCCGTTATTCTCACTTTATGATCAGGCAAGACCATGGTTTTGGTTCTCCACGCGAACCTAATCAGTTGCCGGGTTGGCTTTCTTCTTAGTTGCTTCGACAAGAGCAACTCTAGTTATTTCTTCTGTGCTGTTACTTGTTCTGCTCTAGCTATTTGTTCCGTAAATTGTGATTATGTCGAGTGTTGATAGCGGCTGGCGCGTTTTTGACAGATGTTGAAAGATTTCCATGGAAGAGCCAATCAGAGTTTTGCGTTGTGAGAGCAACGCATTAGTTCAAAAGCTTGGGCTTTGTCTGTAGTCCCTCATTTTTCTCTCTCCCCGCCGCGTGTCGCCTTTTCTTGCGTGGGATGATTTTCACGCGCGCTCGCGTTTCGCTCGCTCTACTATCCCTGAGGAAAAATGGGGAACTACTCGTAGTCTAGGAAAAAGCTTCCGTGAATGATTTGCGAAGAGCAGTTCCCAGTGCCGAGATATACTGCTGCAAGTAAAATAGGTAATAACGTCATTTCGTTGCTAGGACAACTCCGATGCCGTTGCAACCCTGATCATAACAAATTTTCATCTTCATTTAATACAACTGTGATGGCAATTTTTCCAAAACTTTGCTTATGGCGACGTAGTTTATGCTCAAACTTGGGAGGTATTGGCCCTGAAAAACTGTATCGAGCCACCTTAAAATAGGGTTAAAAGAGAGACCCAATAACTGGTTGTAGAATGAACTCGAAATTCTCCTTTCTGCTTCAAGCTTCGCCTCGTGTATTCAATTATTTAGCTTATTCTACAGGTAGCAGCGAGATTATCCGCTGGAATAGCACTCACACTCAGATAACAGAGAAACCACAAAAAGAATTTCATTTTATCTTCAAAGCGAGTATAACTATGATAAATCATCAATAATTTGGCAAACTGCTTTTTGTTTGTCTACTCCAACTAGATCAGGTCTATTGTGTTTAAGCCGATGATCGGTCTGTTTGCTAAAGTCCCAAAGGATTTTGACTCACTCGGACTCTCGAACTGTTTCAGGAACATACTCACGCCACTTGTCAGCAACCTTCGATCCGTACTTCCTGCACAGCCACCAATGGAAAACTTTTGCAACACCATCATGTCTACCTTATATTATTATTATTTTTAACTGTATCTGACATGGCAGATACAGTTAAAAATGATAGTGTTGAAACACTTTGAAGTCAGTTGTGATGGTTACATCCTTTGTAACGTGGGTCGTATTAACACTCGCGTTAAAATATATTTAAAAAATAAATAAATAGACTCGTCAATTAAATATATAATATACAGCTCTAAATCAGTTTCAGTCACCACTTCTCCACTTGCCGCGAATCTTAAAGAACCGCATTACATAAGATATTTGAAGGTAACGAAAATGTTATCTAACTCGAGTGAACAGGTAAAGTTGATTTCAGGCAATATATCAAGAATTTAAATAAATAATGGCCATATGATCCCTAAGTATAGAAGTCTACAAAACAGCTTCATTTTCGACCTTCTTTTTGAGATTTTGTAATAAATGTCTGGTATGAACTATAAGAACTTCGAATGAGTACGGACTATACTGATGCACAATGGGTCCATGCCAGCCGGCATTCGATAAAACAAGCATTAGGGAGCTTATAAGCAACGACGACGGCGACGGCTAAGAAAACGTCACTTAAAAAGTGAAGTCGCGCTCCCTTAAACTTTATCGCACTTATTCCATCTGGTTTAATTTGTCAAGTGTTGGCAGATTGTTTAAATTTGAACTCTAAAGCATTGTATTAAAGTTCAAAAAAAGAAAAAGAAAGTTGTTGTTTCGTGTTCCCGTCCTTGACAAAACGTGGAATTAGGCACTTTCACGTTGTAGTCGTGCAACGAAGGGTAAGACATGTACAAAAGAGCGTGATGCACGTGCAAAGTTGTCGTTTTGCTAATCAAACCTATTGCTTTTTGGCCGTTCACGTTGCCGTCGCCGTAGTCGTTGCTTTAGCTCCTCATTACCTCTTTGAAAGGGTAGACCGGTTTTCTAGCTACGGTCACATGACACTTGTCAGGTTAACTGAGGCTTGGTTCAAACGCCGTACTTTTCAAGTGCCGAACCTAATTGAATAAACTCCACTTTGGAGCGACACTGGCGCGACGTGTGTCGAGCCTAAGTTAAGTTCGACAAAAGTTCTTAACTGAGGCTTTTGCCGCACCAAACTAAAACTGCCGTTCCAAATTAATTCAGACGCCGCTCTTTTGCCGTACTTAATTCATCAGTTAGGTTCGGCACATGATTGGAGCGGCTTCTGAACCGGGCCTGATACATGCTTACAAGCTCAGCTATTTGCATTACGGACTGCAGTTCCTCATAGGTGGTTCACAAGGAGGGAGGTTCTAACTATTTTCTCAATTTTTCCAGTTCATCAGTGAATAAAAGTACTTCAAACACGCTATCTGCTCCGTCCAAATTGCTGCTGATTAATTTTTCGACTGAAGAGTAGAAGAATTCTGGGCTCTGAAACAATGAATACGCAATAATTCATAAAATCATTATTCTTGTACGGTCGAAGCCCGCTTTACAGACATCCCCTGAATACAAACACCTCCTTATTACGGACAGAGGACACCTTTCTCTTATCCAATCAACAGATTCTCATAGAAAGTTCACCTCGCTAATACGGACTGACCTTTGTGCTGTAATAGGTCTTTGGAGGATGCATGTCACAAAAATGAGTTACGCGGAGAACTGATTTTGATAAAAAGTACAGTCAAACCCGGTAATAAAGACATTGAGAGGGCCATAGAAGGTGACTGTATTTACAGGGTGTCCATATTGAGCGGGTTGACTTTAGAGACAACGTAAGGGCTTTCTTTCCCCAGGGACAAAGCAAACTGTCGGTAATAATGAGGTGTCCGTACAAAGTGCGTGTCCGTAAAACGGGATTTGACTGTATAAATGAGGGCCTTTTGAGTGTTTCCCAGGACATAGACCGCGGAATGACAGCTTTGGATTTGCTGCTTAGGTATTGTTTTATTTCCTTTATAGCAATTTGTCCCAGTAAAAGGAGTATTACTGACTTAAACAAGAGGAAATCTCTTCGGTGTCCATTTAAACGGGGTTCCAGTGTATTCAACAGCGGTCTCTCTGAGTGCTTAATTCATTTCCGCCAATGTCCTGTAACTTTGTTAGGAATTACTCACTTGAAGTTAAAAAATATGACAAAGTGGCAAGGGAGGTCAAAAATTCCTATTTAGTTAGCTAGCTAGTGTGCCATGATATCGTCAAATAACGATACATCGGGAGTATGATATAATAACGAATACGAGCCGTCTAAAGCCGAGTAAGTAAAATGAAAAAACAAAACTGGGTAGTGCTTCTGATTGGTTGAGGCAAATTTCTCTCGCACCAAGGCCAATGAGAGGCACTAACCAGATCTGGGTAGTGACACGTCATCTGCAGTCGTTTCTCAGATGTTATTTCGCGAGGAAACCACTGGTGGATTCGCGAAATGTCGCCTGTTTTCTCAGGCCAGCGAATAATCTGAAATGATAGAACTAGAAAACCAAGAATTATTCCTCTGCCCTGATGAACAGCCGGCTAAGCTCATCAACAAGGTAAATATGAACAAATGGAAAGGAGTTCGTTTAAAAAATATATACATGTTTATTACTTTTTATTACCTCCTTACGAAGATCTTGCAGCCGCAGTAGCATCCCACCGTCTAGTTTCTTTACAGCCTTGGGATCAAGCCTACAAGAAAATTACACATTAACGCGTCGGAATTATTTGACTGCTCACCAAGTACAACTGTACTGTGACATAAAATTGGAAGTTGGGAGCGGTTGGGTGCGGAAATGGATTCTAGTCAAAATTTAAAGAAAGGCCAATACGTTATAGGACTAGAAGATAATCATGTTGCTGGCATTGTTATTTAGGAAGGTTAAGAGGCTAACACGCCAAGAAGGTACGAACAAAGTGAGCTTTGTCCCTTCAAACTTCATAGCGACTTTGCCAACGTGCGCAATTTCACTAGAGTAATTTTCCTGGAGTTTAGTTGTTTGTGGTCGCATAAAAAGCTTCTAATAGGTTTGCAAAAAAAGTCAACCATCTGATTGTTGGTGATTGAAATGGCAAGGAGGAGGCTAAATGACGAACAGGACGACTAATAAAACTTACCGGTCTTCTAAACCCACTTCCTTAAGCCATTTTCTTACGTCATCATGTGTCCAAGATTTGATGGAAGTGTGCGGTGAAGCATCAACAATATCCGGTGAAGCATTAACCAAATTCGGTAAAGCATCAGCATAAGTCTCGGCTGCATTTCAACACAGAATCAACAATAAACAGCTACGCGACAAAGCGTGAAAAAATAATTCCTAAACAGCCGGAGGCAATGACCAAAACAATAAGGAGGCAGATTAGGAAAAAAGAAATCGCTTCGAAAATATCGACTAAAAGAAACGGGTAAATCAGCTTTTACTCCGTCCAATTCAGCAACTATATAAAGAATTAAGGCTATTTTGTAAAACAAACAAATGCAATATTTCAGCTTGCTGTTAAGCTTTACTGATATTAATGGCAATGGTATACATAACAAACAGAAATATTGTGCAGCATTACCACACATTGAACCTTGAAATACAACGACAACAAATGCTTAGGTAACCTGTGACAGCTACAGTGAACGCTGCACCTTTATTTTACCTTTTTGGGTCTCCTGTGCTTCTACTTTTCCCCGGACCCCTAGCTCTCTCACGAGTACATGAATGTTACTATCCAGTTTATGCTTTTCGGTGAAGTCAATCCAGAATTTAGCTCCCACTATGATGCCGAGCCAACCATCGGGTTTGTATTTATAATCCATCATCAGTGGAATAACGTCTTTGTGAAGCTGGTAGGTATATTCTGCCTCTAAAGTTAAGGGGAAAAAACAGTATGTCAGTGAGAGTTCCAGAGACTATCACTGTTGCGCTTCTGTTTATTGCTAGCAGAGAATAACCGGGCACACGCTGTGTCGTGTTCAAGTTTTAGGTTCTCGCGTTTAGTAGAACTAAAAGTAATCCCAATTCGACTTCGAGAGCAAAGATTTCAAGCAGACGATAGCATACATGGCATAATAACACCCAAAATTAACTGAAATCATTAGAAAATTGCGCTAAATAAATCCGAAACACTACGAGGCTTAACGAACACTTTTTGGAAAAAAGGAGGGGGTGAAATGTTGTACACAAGGCTTCGCGATTCTAAGAAAATAAGCTGTTCTGTTGGGAAAACATCACTAGTTCAACCCCAAAAGTATATCATATAGAACATGTGACTGACCAGAAAAAATCGTCACAAACAACGTGAAAGGTAGCTATAGCCTGCGTGGCAAGCACGTGCGAGTAAACAGAAACGCCGTCAGCCGCGAGAGAGAAGGATGAGAGCGAGTGTAAGGGACTGAACACATGTAGGTTGCTACCTGATCTACAGTTGGGACTCTCTTTGTACTTTTGAGATACACAAACCAACACGACTGATGCATTCTCCACAGCTCTGGCCATACTCTCCAGTGTAGAGCCTCCCATCTCATCAACGTCCATCCAAACTTTGTAGCCTTGCTCCTGAAGCTGAGTTTTCAAATGAATCATGGATTTTTGGACGTCCCACTGATAACTGATCATCACATGTTTGGTGTCTAAAGAAAAAATACTGCGAAGTATAACATGGATACTGCAGTAAATCTTGTTAAAGCATACAGAGCCAGTTCATATGAAGGACGTCAATAAAAGCGTTTATTGGAGAAAAAAACGAGGAGTAATAAATGTAACAAATGCGTTATCCTTGTATGCACAGCATTCCTAATCGATCCAACGAACTTATCTCTCTTGCCTGAGCACTGATACGGTTTGGTCTTGCATCCAAAAGAAAAGCGCCGTCAAACGCCTAGCCTCCCACACGACGTTCTTAGTGGTTCGTAACGCGCTCAAGTGGGGCAGGAACACGAGACGAACCCCTAAGAACTTAGGCGGATCAGAAAATTGCAACGTTCCGAACAACGTCAGTGAGCGCAGCGACTTAGAAGCGGTGAATAGACTGTACGTGAATGTTTTCGTTAAACAAAATCCATGTCTTTACTACCATTAACTGATCTCTCTTGCCTGAGCACTGATACGGTTTGGTCTTGCATCCAAAAGAGAAGCGCCGTCAAACCCCTAGCCTCCCACGCGACGTTCTTAGGCCAGGTTCGTCAAGCGTTCAAGTGGGGCAGGAACGCGGGACGAACCCCTAAGGACGTCGGCGCCGATCAGAAAACTGTAACGTTTGGAACAACGTCAGTGAGCGCAGCGACTTAGAAGCAGTAAATACACTATACGTGAACGTTTTGGTTCAACGAAATCCATGTCTTTAACTTAATATAAATTATGTCTATCGGGTGATGACGAACTTGCCCCAAATCCGCAGGACAAAGAACCCATTTTTAAAATCCATTTTATAAAAAAAAGTTAAATAAAGATATACCCGAGCGAATTTGCACTCCTTCTTCTGTAGAAGTCAATTGCTGCTTCTCCTCTGTGTGCCTCTGTTTACCCTCACATTCCCATAATGCACCAGCAGCGGCTCTCTTTAACTCACTGTTGTCGCTTGTCAAAAGTTTTCGCAGCTCGGCGATGGCAATCTCGTCACTTCTAATTTGTTTCTTGTTTTCTTCGTCAAACGCTAATGTCCATAATGTATTGCAAGCATTTAGCCTTTCATCCTCAGTTTTCGCTTTTTGTAACATAGTCACAAGGACTGGAATGGCTTCACATTGCACGATCTACAAACATAACATCACAAATGATCAGTTACCTGGTCGCCTTCGTGTTAAAATCATGTCCCTAGACAGCAATTTTTAAATTTGCTATTTCATCCATAATAGTGAATGTCTATTTCTCAGACGAGTGTTATAAATACACGAGGCTGTACTGAATAACTTTTCAAAAAGTTCTCGAAAAATACCCAGTCTTAAATAAATCAGAGTAAAATGCAATGCTTGACGTTCATTTTCGTAGATTCGCAAAATGAGAGTGGTTAACGTACACTTCCCGTCAAAGAATATCCTTTAACAAACAGAAAAAGAATATGTTTTATTTTGACGCAAAAGATTAAATTGAAAAGTTCACGAGAAAGAAAGCAAGTTTCAAGTTAGACTACGAGTAGTCCCGCATTATTCCTCAGGGATAGTGAAGCGAGCGAAACGCGACTCGCCTTGGTAAGTACCGCAGAGACTCGATACTTTACATGTAGCCTGCCAGGCAGAAGTTCTTAGAACTTAGGGCTCTAAGAACGTCAAGGTGAGAGGCTAGCTACCTTAAAATGTACATTAACTCTTGCTGGTAGAAAAAATTCTTACCAACAAAGATTTGAAGTGGACTGAAATATCAAGTTTAAAACCTGTAGAGTACAAAAGGAACAAGCCTGACATACTGTTTTCTTGTTGTTGTCATTGACAGCTATTTGTGTCAGTCCGTCAGCAAGTTCTGCTGACGAAAAGCCAAAGTATTTGTGTCTGACCATCCCCAGTGACTTTTTCAACAATCGAATCAGAAACTTGATAGGACCTGAAATAAAAGGACAGGGTAAGATACGGTACAAAAGAAAACTTTGGAGACTCCGGGGCAGGACCGTCGGGTCGGAAAAAAACAAATAGAATAGCTACCTGTCTTCCGCAGATCACGTACGTTTTATTTTCACTTGGCTAGCCTGCCAGAAGTATAAAGAACGCGGCGCGCACCCCCCGCGCACCTCGTTCTCTCTTGCGCCTATTTAATACTTCCAAGCGCCTGCTACGATGGCCATCGCTGAGCTTGTTCAGTTCACTATCAACCTCGTCCCCGGGGCTTTTTCCATTTTCTAGGGGAAAGGCCCTGGGGACGAGCTTGGTTCACTACGCGCCCGCTATCTGAAAGTCTATCACAAGCTAAGTCCAGGAGTGGAATTGGGCTGGGCTGAGCTCCTCTGGGCCCCGTTCCACTAGGATGGGCTCAATAGGCTCTGTTTTGTTTTGTTACCATTGACTACGAGGGTGATTACAACGTTACATGAAACAAATTTTAAGTAATCAGTTCTATGACTTAGCAGTGTCTAGAAAGAGATTATTGTAATGAGACAGGTGCCTTTATAACAACTTGACACATGGCTGGTCAGTACTCTCACGTAGAGATATTCAGAGGCTCCCTTATTGCTTCGCAGGGGTTCAAGTGTTTTTACAACCTTTCCATTGAGATCCGACAATTACAATGTACGTCCGCGTGTCGTTTCCTGTTGTATCTCGTACTTACAAAGTGTTTCTCTGCTCCCTACCAAGCCATCCCATGTATGGCAAGTATGTTAGGTTCCACTGGTTAGTAGTGTGACGGTGCTTGGGTGGATTCCACTCTCAGGGTTGTCAACTGAAGGTTATGCATTGCACTTGGCTGCAGTTCGGGGCTCCACCGGCCTCACACCATGCCCATCTCACAACTCCCCCCACTACATGCTCATCTCTATTGATGAGTTTAGGCTTGGTAAGAAGCTACATGTACATGAACAAGGTGAACAGTTTTAAGTGGAACATGATCGTCCAGATGAGTGTAGTCCTGAATAGGACTGTTCTTGATATTAACTGACGTTCCCTAGGTGCAAAGAAAGTTAGTCTTACAGCCTGCCATTCGGGCAAGCTCTAGCTAACATGTACTAGCCCACAAGTCATTTCAACTAGCCCCAAAACCCTTTTTGATTAGCAGGATTGATTACTACTCTTCTCTAATTTGAATTTCCCCCAAAACAGCACTTGCCCATCAGGCAAGTTAAGAACAAACATCACTAGCCCGATAGCAAAATTCACTAGCCCTGGGCTATTGGACACTACTTTCTTTGCACGCTGCATTTCAAAACCTGTGCAGTAGTCATCCTCAGAGTCACAGGTTTTCCAAATAACAGTTACTGTTAACAAACGTCCTATACAGTGGACTACACTCACCTACTTATGAAACCACTCATGGGTTTAAACCATTCACAGTTGTACAGTTATAGTTAAAAATAATTACCTTCATCTGCCATTATCAAATGATTATTATCTTCATCAGTTAAGTAGGCCAGGACAAGCAAACTCTTAGCACTATAAATCATAACTTCGGCTTTAAGGAGTGGAATGAGTACATTTATTGCCTGACAATCAGCAAAGCTCTTCCTTGTTGGAACACGCTTGGACAGGTTATGAAGGACACCCATGGCCAAAGAAAGCATTCTACCTCGCACTGTGTACTTAGAAAGTTGCTGTGTTTTGGAGTTCTGGCAACAACAAATATAAAAAATATATCACACACAGCAGAACTCTGTGCTTAAGGAAGCCCCTTTTTTGCAGTTGCGAAAAGAAAAACTGAAAAATTCAGGCTTACCAGGATCCCTGACCCCTGTGATACTGATACAGCAATCTTACCAAGTGAGCTCGCAAGCGAACTGGGAGGTGGTCATCATTTTGTTGAAAAATTCTGAAAATTGTGAACTTAAGCCAAAATTCAAGCTCAGTGCATGGAGTTCTCAATTGATCTGACAAACAAGTCTTAACCTTACAATTATGAGTGTAATTTGGCACCCATGATATTAATAGGTAATCAAATGGTTTACCCGGATCCAAATTCTAATAATTTCCTGAACCTTACCAATTTCACTCCAATTAACCAATTAAATAGGTGGTGTTGTTATCTGGTGCTGTTGATAACATGAAATTATCACAGTTCATAATTATGAAAAAATCATATCTATTACTGATACACTTACCACATTCTTTAATTGGTCAGGAATTGCATCTTTCAGTTCCTTAATCATGTCAACAAACAGAGGCACCATACCAGAGTCATTACAAGCCAAGCAAAAACTGTCATTAAGGTCAGAAAAGTTTAAAACTGCCTTTAGAAGATTACAGATGATTTCCTGTGACATCTTCAAGGCATGTATCTTCTCTTTCTCCTCCTAGAAAATTTGCAAGGAAACAAGGAAAAAGGCAGAAAGAAGCTGTTTATTAAATTTAAATAATACCTAAGAATAAGAATTGATATCCAATAGGCTAAAATGTCAGCGGTCTCCACCTTGTAATGCATCAATTGGGGAGATGTCAGACTAGGTATTCAACAGACTTGAATTAGATAATGTAATGCTGTTTGGTTCTCATGCATGGAGAGTTGAAAATGAAAGTAGATAAAGTCTAATAGCCTCCCAACCCCTCCCCTCCCTTCTCAGGCCTGCCAATAACTGGTCTAACCTGAGTACCAAGCCTACAGTACTGTACCTAAGGAATTCATAGGGGAGGGGAGATTTTAAAAGGAAAAAGAGGACAAGATAAAAGAAGGCCTGACACAAAGGCATATTCACTGAGCCAGGTCAAAGATCAAAATTCAAGGTATTGTGATTATTGCATTAAACACAGTCAGTACTCCCTTAATGCTCTATAAAAGCTCTCCTGCTCTGAAGCCAGAACAACATTATTTTCTCAAGATGATCACTGCACAACCACAAATGATGTTGATCGGCTAATACAGTTATACTGTATCATGCTGTTCAAGGTGTAACTGATCACCGTATTTCCAAGGGTTGGTGTCTGCAGTATATTACAGTAAAAGCATTATCCCCCAAACTTGAGGTCAAAGTTATTGTACTGTATTTTACATGAACATTGACAAAAAGGAGGAAGCCAATACACTGTGTATATTAAAGACATCTTGAATGAACAGGTTTGGTAAATAAAGGATAAATTACCGTATGTGGCCAAATGTAATGTATTTTTCTTGCATGACTATAAAAAGAACACAACCAACTCAGGTAGCAAAATAAATTAACTTTGCCATGTAAATCACTGATCCACAGGCCAGACTAAAGGAGCTGATGACAATTAAATGACTTACTGTGAAAACTAACAAAACTGTGAAAACCAGAAATATTCTGGAATGCAGTTGTGTTCATGCAAGAAAGACAACAATCACCACAAAAAGCAAGGGTAATCAATTTGTAGTTTTGTAGCCTGTTCAAAGATCCAAGACCTTGGAAAAAGAGGAATGAGAAAACAGGTGGGAAAACCTTGTGGGGTCTGAGGAGAGGCTTGCCTGTGAATACAACCATGTAACATGATCTCTCCCTGCTCCTCTAAGCTAGGGACACTTCACAGGAGAGACATTCACACGTCAACAACAGACAAATTGATGATGCAAGGTCTGTCTACAACCAGGCCAGGAGCTCTGATTGGTTAAGATCATTATAATTATTACAGTATGATTGTATATGCTTTTAGGTATTATTTACAAATGACACAAAAAGACAAAGAGTCACAAAGGTCAAATGAAAATGTGATTAATCTACTGCAAAAGAGTCAATTCATGAAACATGTATAGAACCATTTGATTTGTGCTGAGACTCTTTCACTGAAGAACTCAAAACTAAAATGATAATAGACCAGGAGAAACATACAAAGTAAAATCTAACAAATTTCCATTTGGAACTCCATGATGAGCAGATTCAATGATGTAAACATAAATTTTTGCCATCAGTATGGCACTTCTGTCATTGAGGCACAGATGAGGATTGAGGAGAGATGGCTGTATTAGCAGGCTTGGGAGAGACAAGTTTTAGCTCCTCTGCACTGTCTGGGAGCCTATAATGCAGACGAGTAGTGATTTGCTTGTTTATCCGGATCTTTGTTTTTATTAGCCTGTGCCGGAGACAAAACTAAATTCTGGTTAAGTTTGTCTGCAAAACAGCGCCAAAATCGTTGTTCTGGGCCCTGCCTGTGTACCAGGATTTGAGAACATGCCATAATTGGCCTGTTAAAAATGCATTGTTGATTTGCCAATCAAGATGAAAGGAAATTCAAAATGTACTTCCAGTAATTTGTTGAATCTGCTGAGGGCCCAGAACAAGGATCTCAGCACTCCTGTGCAGACGTTACTAACTGAGGTTAGATTATGTCTGCAATGCAGGCTATGTTTTTATCTGTCACTACAAAATCAGTGTTCCTGAAGTATTTCAGGTTCATACTGTTTTCTGAGTCTGATAGAAGAGAGTGAATCCTGGAAATAGAGATTTTACTATAGCATACTGAATATAAAAATCATCATTGTGAGTCCTTAACTTTTTTGAAGACCCAATCAATTACCTGGCTTACAGGTTCCTCTTCCTCCTTCTCTACCACAGATTGTTCACCTTTCTCATCAACATTTTCATTATTCTCCTGTACAAGAGTATCCCCCGCTGTCCCCTGTGCTGTGTCATTTCCTTCTGTCACAATATTTAACATATCTTGTTCAGAAGTAATGCTGGGTTTTTGTTCTACAGCAGTACTTTGTCCTACATCATTCCCTTGCTGTTCTTGTTCCGTCTCTTCATCTTTGTTGTCCTTTCCATTTTGTTTAACTCTATCCCACGTCGTAAGTTCCGGGTAATTTTTCCTACATTCAATGACAACATTATAAGCTAGCTTGGGAAATCCTAAAGCAACAACAAACTCTGTTAGAGCAAATCTGTTGCTCGGTTTCTTGTATGTCAAGTACACACTGAACAATCCGTTGGCATAACCAAGTGATGGGGGTGAAAGCAGCTTGTTACCATCCAAAGCATCCTTTAAACCTTGGTAATATTCCCTTGTTAGGCTGAAAGTCGGGGCAATAGCTGGATATTGTTCACTGAAGGAAGCTAACAAAGAATCTGAGCTTGATGTTGGCTCGTCAACAGCTGATGAATGCTCTTTCGTTTTCAGTGCATCATAAGCCGAAGCTTTCGCAGTAAATGTAACCTTCCCTTCATCAAAGCCATCGGTTATTTTTTGAGATTCTGTGGCGTTCTGTTCGACGTTCTTACGTTTGGAGCCACAATTATTTCCCGGGTTATAAAGCTCCACCACCTTTGCACTTCCCTTTGAGCTTCCTGATCCCATCCGTTAACAGATTAAAATCACACAACGCAATCCTGAGGACTCTTTAAGATAATCTTAGGGGTTTTGAAGGAGCTACATTCTATCTCCAAATTATCCGCCATGTTGTTTACTGCTGGGCAACTGGGTAACAAAGAAGCTTTCTGTTCTCATTGGTTGCTTCAGTAATGCAACCAAATCCTGGACCACAGGTAGCCCAAGGGACCACAGGTCGTCCAAGCTCAAAATATGAGCATCGGCATTGTTGCTAACATTCAAAATATAAGGATTTGTGCGGGAAAAAAACCTATCGTTTCTGTAACCTACGAAAATGAAAGGATTTCAATAAAACACAGCTTACCTTACTTAAACTGTGTGTTACGTCTCTCCTGTGTGGTCCACGGGCCGATTTATGGTCGTTTTATCGGTTTTTATGTAAACGGTTTTCTCTCTAAAACCGTTAATTAAGCGACAAATTTCTAAGCGTGCTTTTTATTATAACGGGGCAATTTTTTAACTCATAGTTGTTGGCATTTTGGTATTTTTAGAATCTACCATCTATATAAGTTTTTCTTTTTTTCAAGTGACTCGTAAGAGGAACTTTTTTTTTTCTTACGGAGAATGTATATGTAATGATCAGAGGCGATCTTTACAATGAAAATGTAGTAACAGAAAACATGTCACATAATTTCAGCGATATCGTGAAAAATTTGACTGCAAAGATAGTTATTATCTTCCTACAAACAGCTTCTTTCCCATTAAACACGAAATCCAGACTAAATGAAAATAGCTATATATCAGCTTAACCCTGCAGTTTTTCGTAAACAAATGGAACAATTTGAAAGGAATCAATTCCTCTTGTCTGAAAATGGATCGTTAAAGACGAGAAAAGCTCGGCATAATCCATAAACGACTTTGGAGATTGTATTACCCGTTAAACAAAGATACTGTGACACATCTCAGAAAGGACGGTATTTATCATATCGTTCCCTATTAAAAGGGCGGTGCTTTTGTCAAAAGTATCTTGGCAAGTCTAAGGAGATATATGAGAATGTTGGTTTTCTTGTGGAGTGCGTAGTAGAATTTATTTGGTTTCAACTATCAGCCTCGCGTTTAAGTTAAATTCATTTTTTCATTGTTGACGACTGTTAAACATGGCTATAACTCAAAACGTATACCACAATTTGAAACCACGAACTGCCTAGCCAAAAAGAGGGTGCTTAATGAATCTATCAAAATCCATCGTCAAACCTTTTCTGTCCTCTGAGTCAAGCAAAACGTCCCTAACTCCTGGACTATTTATTAACGACACCAGGTAAGAACATTTAACTTTATTTTTACCTTTATTTTACCAGTTTTAGTTCATTTAATTGATGAAAGTTTTATTTCCCATACAAACTCTCATGTTACGCTTGGGTCGTTTAAGCTTTGACTGCTACGCGAAATGCAGCTTGAGCGGCCCCAGAAAAAGCTACTGGATTTAAAAAAATTAGAAAGCCCAGCAAACCATTTTTAATCTAATTTAAATTTCAACCAGTGTTCCCCTGCGAAGAGTTTGATTTTTAATAAGTTGTCTAGCTACGAGCATGTACTAACTGATCACTAATTGTCACTGCTCACGTATGCTCAATATAACTCGCTCTCGTTTTCATTAAGGTTTCCTGAATCAGAGGATGGAAGAAATATCAAACTAAGATCTTATTGCCTTGTTAATAGCATCATTGATTAATCTCATCCAGTGGTCAGGATTTGGTACCGATATCATAACCTGGTCTTCAATTCCTGAAGTGGGATCGACGTAGTCGATGATTAGCCCTGGATAGCCTCCATATTGACCAGGAGCGTTGACGGACCCACCTCCCAATGAGCGGATGTGTCGAAGAGGCATTTCGATTTCTTGAGTGCTGCATAGCAAACCGAACCAGAGCACGTCTGGTGTAAGAACAAGGGCTCCATTGCCTTGGATCTGACAACAGCCTGTGGACCTTTGGTAACGAAGATTGGCCCAACACATTTCTCGCAGGATAATCTGGCTTTCTGCAAATTTCTCATTGACTCGTTCTTCCATCTTACCACAGCAGCAACCCATTTTTGTTCTGCAGAAAACGCAACAAGAAATTATAAAATAATAATCAGACTCATTAGACTCATCGTCATCATCATCCTCTCATCATAAAAAACTCATGACAACTGCGCTGCATGGAAGTCGCTGTATGTTTCGCTCCTATGTGTGAAGGGCTACTTTTAGTTGAAGATTAACCATTAACAGAGTTTGACGCACTTGGAATTTATTTACACTTGACGACTCCAGTAACCCTCGACGATACAAAATCGAACAGTGGCATCCGAACGTGTCGTCGAAGTAGTAATAAAAATTTGTGCTCCATATGCGGCTATAGCTAGTAAGTTTCGTACATAATGATAATAATAAATAAATAAATTAGTCATACAGAGTAACCACTTCAGTTATATAACTTCCATCAATGTGGGCACTGTGAAATAATTAATTAATTAATTAGTTAGTTAATTAATAATGAAGCTTAAAAAAAGACATATAATAATAATTTTAAAAAAACTTATACAGATGGCAGATTCCAAAAACAGCAAAATGCTAAAAACTACAGTGTATGAGTTTAAAAAATTCCCCCTTTATAATAAAAGGCACGCTTAGAAACTTCTAGCTTAATTTTATCGACAAAAAGATTCTGGCTAAACCTAGTGTTATGTGAATGAATGTCATAGTGTTTGGTGTTAAAATACCCCGGCTTGAACAAACAAGAACAGTCCGGCCCCCTAAAACAGTTATTAACTAATTCTTTAAAATGTTCCTCTCGTCTATCGGGGAGTGGCTTCCATCCTAGTTTTTCGATGATGGCATCGATGGTCAGTTCCCGAGAGTTCTTGGGAACAACGCGACTAGCTCTTCTTTGCAAACGTTCGATCTTTTGCTGATTCTCAAGACCGCAGTCGTGCCATGCGACGTCACAGTACTCCAGAAGCGGTAACACCATGGAACTATGCAAACGATTGGCAGATTTAGTTGTTAATGGACGTCTTACTCGTGAAAGAATTCCTAGTTTCTGGGATACTTTCGATGCTACGTAATCGATATGTTCGTTAAATGAGAGATGGTTGTCGAGCCTATCACCCAGATACTTGAAAACTGTGGAGAACTTAATAGGAATCTCGTCCAGAGTAACTGAAAAGTCCGCAGTTCCTGACATCTTTAGTCGTTGTCTGGTACCAGAAAATAAACATTCCCTTTTTTTGAGATTCAGAAAAAGTTTGCTTTTTTAACCCAGTGAGAAACATTCACCAGATCCAGAGACAATTTCAGTTTCAATTTCAGAGATGGAATTACAAGAGGAGAAGATAACAGTGTCATCAGCGTACATCAATATTTATGAAATTGAAAATTGTAGGCAAGATGGAAGGTCATTAATGTAAAGTGTAGAAAGTAACAGACCAAGAACGCTTCCCTGAGGGACTCCAGTTACGACAGGCTAGGGATCAGAGCATGAACCGTCTACGCACACGAACTGATTCCTGTTACATAGGTAACCAGAGAACCAGGCTAAATCTTCGATGCGTGATCGGTGACACTTTGAAAATGTAAGTTGCATAACGAATATGTTGTTTTTCAAAAGCCAGTCACCAGACCTATTTTTTCCCGCGTCGCGCAAAGTCGAGGTGTCGGCGCTAAGGTAATTAAATGTTTAAAAAACACTAAACAAATGGCTGGAAAATTAAAATCACTGTGTAACTTTAGTTTTAGCCAATCTCGTTCCCAGGGACCTCTCTTACTTTTCCAGGGGACGAGTAGGAGAGGACTTGGGAACGAGGATCAGTTTTGGCTTAGCTGGGAAGATGTTCTCTGCTTATAAGCAATTGTGGCTCCTTTTTTACGTCGCGTTTAGTAGTAAGCCCCCTGGTAGTTATGCTGTCAGGAGGCCAATAGGCGACGCAGCAAAGTATGAGCTGGATCGCGTGGTGAATGATAAGTAGCTTAGTTAGCGCGATTTGCATTGACCTTTCTAAAAATTCCAATATCAGCATGTGCAGGTACCCCAACCTCACTATTAGGGTATGTTCATACAATACCGGATTGCTTTTCGTGCCGACACGAGAAGTTATCCAGTACAGGTAGGTATGAACAGCAGCAGCACAGGACTGGAACAAGTCGTTTACACACATCAAACATCGTGCCGGAGGGGTTGGCCGAGAGGGTTTGGTGACCTAAATCCCAGTCCTCACTCATAAACTTAGGGAGCTTAAGCAACGACGGCGGCGACGGCGGCGACGGCGACGAGAACGGCAAAAAACCAATAGGTTTAGATTGGCAAAATAACAACTTTGCACATGTATCATGCTCTCTCTTTTGCACATTTCTTAACCGTCGTTGCACGACTACAACGTGAAAGTGCCTAACTTCACGTTTTGTCGAGGACGGGAACACAACTTTATTTTTCTTTTCCTGAACTTTGATACAATCTTTTTTAATTCAACTGCAATGAAATTTACCAGCATTTGACGAATTAAACAAAATGGAATAAGCGCGATTAGGTTTGAGGCAGCGCGAATTCCATTTTTAAGTGACTTTTTTGTAGCCGCCACCGTTGTCGTTGCTTAAGCTCCCTATTTACTTCCTTTACGGCCCGAATATCTGTTCACACTGCACCAAAGTGTGGCACAAAGCCTATCCAATATATGACGCTCCACTTTCAAGAACGGCGCTTCACTCCGTTACAGAAATAGCGCAAAAATCACCGTTCTTATGTGTGAATAGAAGACTATCTGGTATGGTTTTGGTGCCGGTACAAGAGCCATCCGGTACATACATACAAACATAAGTTTTATTTTGACTCAAACTTTAGAGTAGCTACACTATATAGCTAATATCTTCGAGAAACAAATTAAGATCTCTAAAAGTGAGGAAAAAGAAAGAAAAAAGAGATATATACAAAACAAGACAAAAATTAGTGAAAGTAATCAAACGTTTTGAGACTTTTGCACACGTCGCTTAAAATCAGGAAAAGTACTGTTCCTTAATTCATCGGGACGATCGTTCCATTGCTGGGCGGAAAAATAAGAAAAAGAGTGTAGTCCATAGGTTGTCGTTCTTGTTTAGAGTCAACATATGGGTACCGCGCAAGTTATAGGTTGTGTCCCGTTGTATGGCGAACAGTAAACATATTCCTCATATAAGTTGGGTACTCATTAAAAAATAAACTTTTGTAAACTAGAATTAAGAAATTCTGAATGCGCTTGATACACAAAGAAGGCATTTCAACCTTGTTAAGCAAAGTGGTTTAGTGAGAAGTATAATCATTTAAAAGCCTCCAGCTATAGCGTGAACATACCTACAAAGGCCATGAGCTGTAGTATGCCCCTTAGGCTAATGATTCATTATTGTTTTCGCGATGATTTTTCACACAGACGTTCTGGATGTTAAACCGTGGCCGATAAAAAGACATCTAACGTTCATAGTCAGTTAGTAACCACAGATATGAACACAAGAAAAGTAGTTAAGAGAAATAAAGCGAAATTAAATGTACATTTTGCTAATTCATTGTGCAAAGAATATTTCTCATACAACTTAGATCTTAAACTGCTCGATGCTTCTTGTTCCGCATGACTGTCAAACAGCTCGCGATGATTCACTGAGCGAAAATATAAAACAAATTTCTCTCCATCTAAACATTTGCTGAATTTTTCCGGCTTTCTTTTCGCAACTGCATATAAAGTTCAGCTGTAAGACGCATCTTAAACTGCGAGGATCTTCTTTGCATTTATTTGGGCATCCAGAAAGTTTTCTAAAATGTTTTCCGTTAAGTCATATTGGTCAAAATTAAATATAATATCCTTCATAAAGTACACCCGGGTTTAAACTGAAGTTTACCTTGTCCAAATCCTGAACTGTGATGTTTCACTCCGGCGTCCGCACTCCCTTTATAAAAAGTTCGTGTATCGTAGTAGAGAAAGCGCAGAGATCAAGCCGAAGTTGTCAGTTTGTTTCTTTCTGGCTGAGGTTCGAAGTTAAATATTCCATGTAGGCCGTGTTTTTACTTCCTGTTCATGCCTGAATAAAATATCAAACACATTAAATAATCTGGCCGATAAGTGTGGCTAATATCATAATGATGCCTGCTACGGACAATTTTGTGACAGGAAAATGAGAAAAATGCTGATTCACAGTGACGTTTCCTCCCGCGCCATATAAAAATCGGACGAAGGACTGTTTTGAAAGTCTATTGTAGCGGGAGAGAAGCTTCAAGAAAAACTCCAGGAAGTGGTTTGTTGTCAATTTTTCCAGGGAAGTGTCGAACTTTTAGAAAATGTATTGAGTAAAACTGGGTTTGGCTCAACTTGGCTTGCCCGGTGCGAAAATGAAAACTGCCCGTTGCAAATAGGTAATAATGCTCTCTAGACAACAGAAAATATCGAACAGAGCAGAGCCTCTGAAATAAATTGTTGTCGGGTTTCGTTTTTAACTTTTTCCTGCTGTGTCACTATTGTTGTCCCTTCACTGGTATGCATCAACATTGACAGCTTTGCTGTTATAATCTGTCACGGGTAATACGCCGCCAAAACTCTTTTTCTACTGTTTTCTCGAAATGAAAATCAGGGCAAGTTGAGGGTACGTTTTAAACTCCAAGTCGGCAACCCGTGAACCAATTTGGCTGAAATTTGGCCAACTTACTGTCGGATAGTTTTTCTAAAAAACCTTGTCTGCGAATTTTGATTTCTTTTTTCGTTTTCGAGTTAGAGTAGTTTTTTCACAGGTAGTGCTAATGATTTACTATCCCTAACTTTAACTGCTTATAACAAAAGAACAAACGCACTTGACAAAAATCTGAGACATGGTTTTTTAGTCAAACCTGTTAAGAAGCGAATGCGATCTTAATTGGCTTCTTCCGTTTATTTTTGGCTGGCCTGGACTTTAATTTACAGTGACACGCACTTTCACAAAAAGCTTCTCATTTCTAAATCGCGTTAATATTTTGATTTTTTAAAAGGAATAAGCAACAATTTGGAACTATTAAGCTTTCAGAAAATGTACGGTTTATGGGGGTATTTATTAAAAGCAAAAGCGCTACCGTCGATCATCGTCTGAATCAGTTTGGTACCGCAGTTTTAGTTTGGTGCGGCAAAAGCGTTAAAGACGTTAAGGTCGACAGAGTCTGTCGAACTTTTGCCTAACTAAATTTAGGTACGACACGCGGTGCGCCGTCTGAATCAGATGTCGCGCCAGTGTCGCTCCAAAGTCGATCTTATTCAGTTAGGTTTGGCACATGAAAAGTACGGCGTCTGAAATTCCTACATTGATTGCCATCTACCTTGAATGTCATTTTAAGTAATTTAAGTTATCTTTATCTTCAAAAACTCATAAATATTTAGTGAGTATTGTTTCATTGAATCGCAACAATTTTTAATAACGTGTAATGAACTTTGAGCCTCTGCGCAGAGGGGCTATAGTCTGTTTTTCGATCCATGCGCAACAGTATTCTCTGGGCTGGGGAGGGAGTACTGGTGACCATCCCCTATCAAGTGTCACGATCCTCTGGTCAGCGTCAGGGCGAAGTCGAATCATGGCGGCATCGACAGGACTTCCCTCCAGTGTTGTTAAAGTTCTCGTGCGCTTTCAGGCATAACGGGGAAGAATTTCTCTCACTGAAAAACTCATATCTGGACACTGTAAAAGTATATTTCATTCATATGTGAATATAACGACGAAAATAAAGTCGAAAATATTCACATTTCTCCTCGAAAATCTTCGGTAGTCTTCAGACATCTTCAGCAGCTGGTAAAATGTGCTTGTCCAAGGGTCCGGCGTGGATCATCTCTCCAAGTTTGCCAGTGCATCTACGAAATCCACCACATCAAACACGCTCGTCAGTTTGAACTCGCTCTTAATTGAAGAGTAGAAGAACTCCGGGCTCTGAAAGCAAAGAAGTCGTTGTAGCGTTGAAAGTTAGGATTACATGGCTAATGTATGACCCAAATAAAATACGGTACCTCTCCCCTTAATTGTTTTATCACGTTACCAACAAGCTATCTTCACACTTCTAGTTAAAGAAGCTGGTTTCTACTAAAGCTGAGGTACTGCAGTGTTGCGAAATAGTATACCGTTTACATTAGAACGAACCTGCGATGCGATCTGATATTTGAGAGGTCTGGGTCCGTCACATCAGTGAGACTGAGCAAAATACTGGCACCAAAATGAAGCTCTCTGCGTTTTCAGGGTGCCCATTTTCCATTTTGGAACAGAACAGTTCACACATTGGCAGTGAACAGGTGGTGTGAATAGCGGAACGAAATCCCGTGTAAACAAAATATTACGGAATAAAGTTTTACCTCTTTCCTGAGATCTTGTAGTCGCAGTAGCATTCGACCATTCAATCTTCGCACAGCTTTTGGATCTAATCTGCATGACAATAATAAAATATTTGTCCTTCAACACTAGACTCTGCCAATTCAATAACTCACATGAATGATAAACGCCTACATTATTCTGTACCATTTCCACGAAAAACGTTCCCTGCTAGAAATCTCCCTTTCAGTGATGTATTAGACGAGGAAAAAAATGAAACTCTGTTCTGATTTGCAACGCTGCTTGATCTACTGCTCTCCACTATCGTGGTACCCTGTGGCGCGAGCTAATAGACGGGCGCGAGCGAGGCGATCACGTGCTAGAAGAGAGGTGTCCCACTCCCTCGCGTTCATGACGTGTTCTTATTTGTGTGTGGGACACCCCCCCCTCCATCACCACCACCAGCACAAAATCAAACGATACATTCAATCCGTGACCATCATAACCATCATTGTCAAAAAACGTGACTGTTAAGGTGGTTCCGTGATTAACACAAGAGCATTTAGCTGTGACAAATTTTCCGTCATAACTTTTTCGATTTTAACGCAATGGCTGCGAAACTTTGCAAATAACAACAGATATCATTCAGCAATAATACGAACTATTCCGATTTCATTGATGGTAAATATTTCTTGAGAAATTAGCCCTTAAAAGGACCCTACTGTTCAAAGAAAATCGCGTCTAGTAAAAAATTTTGCTGATATTTTTTACTGAAATTTCTGGTATCGGCTTTAATTGATATAATGAATATGACAGAGGAATTTCAGAAAAATCGTTGGAGCAGAAGGCCGTAACTAAAAGTCGGTCAAAATTCAGCTGTGGAATTGTTTTGGAATTTCAAAAATAAATTACTATCAGGAAGAAGGAGACACCAGTGTCAATTTTCGGGACAAGCAACTTCAGTGTGTTTTCTGATTCTTAAAACAAAAGCCGATTGCCTATCGTGCTATTCTTTAAAAGGTAATTTTCAGTTTTTAGAAGCACTATAAATTGCTCCAAACTTTGCTCTGACATCGAATGACTTGTTCCTCGACATTTTTAAAATATCCCTTGGCAGTTTTGGTTCAAACTCCTGCTACACACATTTTGATGTATTGCAAAGCATCCCCAACGGCTTTTCCTGCTTTACGTTGTTTCCAATTCAGGAAAAAGGTATTGGGATTGTAAGCTACCTAGTATCGAAGCTGAGATAGAACTGTCCAGTACCTTTGTTTATGACCAGAAAATGAGCACGAGCGGCAGCTCTGCGAGGAATTCGCACCTCAGCCAGGGGGGACGAGTGACAATGATGCCCATGTCTGTGAACCGATCTGTATAAACATGTATTGCAGAGCAAAACATAATAATCAAGAAAAAAATACCCATTCATTGAAGGAAGGAGTGACAAAAATTTCAGAGTTGTAAATTGATTCACGGGCAGTAATTTTGCGATAATTTTATTTTGCACTGTGATGTTATTTGGTTCACAAGCATGGTCATCATTGTCGTTCGTCCCCCCTGGGTGAGGTGCGAATTCCACGCAGAACTGCCGCTCGTGCTCATTTTGTAGTCATAAACAAAGGTGCTGGACAGTTCTTTCTGAGCTCTGATACGAGGTAGCGTCCAATCTCAATACTTTTTTCCTGAGTTGGAAGCAACGAACGGCAGTAAAAGTCGCTGAAAATGCACGGCAATACATCAAAATGTATGCAGCGGGAGTTTGAGCCAAAACTGCCAAGGGATATTTTAAAACTGTCGACGAACAAGTCATTCTACTTCAGAGCAAAGTTTGGAGCAATTTATAGTTCTTCTAAAACTAAAAAGTACCTTTCAAAGAATAGCACGATAGGCAATCGGCTTTTGTTTTAAGAGTTAGCAAGCGTTGAATTTACTTGTCCCGAAAATTCAAACTGGTGGCTCCTTCTACCTGATAGTAATTTATTTTTGAAATTCCAAAACAATTTCACAGCTGAATTTTGACCGACTTTTAGTTACGGACTTCTGCTCCAACGATTTTTCTGAAATTCCTCTGGCATATTTATTATATCAATTAAAGCCGATACCAGAAATTTCAGTAAAAAATATCAGCAAAATTTTTTACTAGACTCGATTTTCTTTGAACAGTAGGGTCCTTTTAAGCACTAATTTCTCAAGAAATATTTACCGTCAGTGAAATCGGAATATTTTGTGTTATTGCCGAATGATATCTGTTGTTCTTTGCCAAGTTTCGCAGCCATCGCGTCAAAAACCAAAAAGTTATGACGGAAAATTTGTCACAGTTAAATGCTCTTGTATTAATTACGGAGCCACCTTAAACTAGTTTTCAATCTAATCCACTGACCGGTTTTCTAGTCCGACCTCCTTGAGCCAACTAATTACGTCATCGTACGTCCATGAACTGATAGATCGCTGGGGCTTGGCGTCTGTAAGATCCAACGTGGTAGCTAAAATAAAACAGAAAAAAAAACACACGTCGAAATTGTATAGCTTGCAAAACCACCCTAGATTGACTGTCTATAACACTAAAAAAAGGGAATTAAGGGAATCATTTAAGGGAAAGCCTTGATCTCGTGTCTTTCTTTCTTAAATTTAGGGTCGGATTCATCAGTCTTTTTATCCTCAATCTCAATCTCGGATATATTCATCGATTTGAACAATAAATCAGTCTAGAAAGAACAAGTCATTTAGTATACCCTGTGAAAGCCCTTAAAATAATTCATGAAACAATTCCTGTGATGGAATGTTTTATTTGAGTCAGTGAGCAACAAAAGTGCACGAATTGCGTAAAAACGCAACCTAAAGAGAACTTCGGATAAACAGACTATGATTATTTGTGAGCTACATTCAGTACCTTGAATGGTTTCCCCAAGTTCAATTTTGCCTCTGCTTCCCAGCTCTTTCACAAGTTTGTCCACATTACTATCAACTTTATGCCGTTCGGTGAAGTCAATCCAGAATTTTGTCCCCACTATGATGCCAAGCCAACCATCGGGTTTGTATTTATAATCCATCATCAGTGGAATGATGTCTTTGTGAAGCTGATAGGTATATTCTGCCTCTAATTATACGTCAACACATAAAAATAACACGAAGTTTATGAAAAACGGGGTCGAAAAAAATGATGAAAAAACAAGAACGGCCAGTAGAGGAAAATGAATGGGATGCTTCAGAGGGGAAGTGGAATTTGTAAAAAGAACTGACTGGGTGGATGTTAGCTGATGTTGAGTCGGATTGCGCAATGTGACTGTTTTGTTGGACGAATTTTCACCCATCCTCCTGCGCAAGCAAAGCGACACCGTATCCAAAAATAGTGCCATAAAGCGCAACTCCAACCACCTCTCACCCCCTCTCACCTATTGTAACCCGCAAGCTTAAAATAGCCGATGCAAATATCAGTTGTCCGAAAAAATGGAAAGGCAGTGAACGAGACGAAGCGAACTCTGTGAACCAATAAAGCCATTTTTTCAACTCTACGGACTCCTGTTAGCGATTTGTTGAAGTCGATGACACTCAGTAGCATTCTTTATAGGATTAGGTTGTAGACTTTGTTACAACAAAAGACCACAAAAACCTTCTTAAGAATTTATTGGCCATTGATTTCAGAACTGCTGCACCGATGGAAAGATTCTCGTAAGTGATGGTGGGAGGTTGGGTGTAATCAAATAGGCGATTTTACCTGATCTACAGTTGGGACTCTCTTTGTACTTTTGAGATACACAAACCAACACGACTGATGCATTCTCTACAGCTCTGGCCATACTCTCCAGTGTAGAGCCTCCCATCTCATCAATGTCCATCCAAACTTTGTAGCCTTGAGCCTGAAGCTGAGTTTTCAACTGAATCATGGATTTTTGGACGTCCCACTGATAACTGATCATCACGTGTTTGTTGTCTAAAGAAAAAATTATAGGTGAAAACAAAAATACTACGCTATACATTAATTTAATCCTGTGAACCCAAAAACAAATTCAGTCTTTCCGAACCTCTAGTGTAGCTATTTGAACCTACAACAGATTGGGCTAAACCTAACTGGATAAATTTGTACCACAGCAATTTCAAGGGCTGAAATAATCTGATTTATTTGTCACAATTAATAGTCTACTTAAGCCTTTTTGCCAAATTTCACCCTAATGCGTTACCGTCTCACACTTGAAGATATTCCAGATCCCGTGATGAATAAAGCTGTATAAGCGCCTATCTTGAGTGAATTTTATGAAAAATCAAACAAAGCCTGGATCGCATTTAACCTGTTCAAAGCTTGCCACAACCACCTTATGCTAGCCTAGACAGAACTGGTGTTAGATATGAACCTCGCAATTGGCGAAAATCGCTGTTAGGAGTCTCTCTGTAGCTCATTGGCTACACTACCAAGCAGTATCAGAAAGAACATAGATGTCATAGATGACCAATACGCTCAAAAAATTGATCTGAACATTAATTTTTCCAACCTATAACTTTGAGGAAGATCCAGATGATTAAATCAGAGAGCAAAAGGCATGTTGAAGAACCGTCAGAACAATTTAAAACGAGTTCCTTCAAGAGAGTCTTATTGTCCTCTTTTGGTTGCTAAGGCCCAGTTCAAACGTCGAACTTTTCGTATGCCGAACCTATTCCCTTCAATTAAGTACATGAAGAGATCGACGTTTGAATCAGTTAAGTCCGAGATACCTAATTTGGGTCGACCCATGAATTAGAAGCGACTTCGTTTCAAAAAGTCGAACTTGTAATGTGCCGGACCTAATGCATAAATTACTAAAATTTAATTTCCCTTGTAAGCATTTTAGACCATTGGACATCGTGAAAATGAATTGAGTCCGACTAACAAAGTTTGACGTCTGAATCAACCGTCGAACTTGCATCATTTGGAACGACCTAAATAAATATTAAGTTCTATTAAAAAGCTAACAAAACAGCAAAATTATACTCAATTTGCAATATTATTAAGCTGTTTTTATGAGAAACGTTTTATCAGTGAGTGACACAGGTGGCTCGGGAAAAAAATCCGAGTACTCTCAACAGGAGTGGAACCTATGACTTTCTGGTTACTAATCCAGACGCTCTACCAATGATCTACAGGAGACTGGTGAGCTCTAAGGTCATTAAACTAGGTTCATGTGACAAACATACTGCAAATTGCTAGAACTAAATTGTCCGTACACTGCTTATGCGCAATGACAGAAATGAGATGGTGAATACATGAGAAAGAGCTTTTTTCAGAAAGTGACATAGGCGATTCGGATGAAAAACATTATTCTTTCTCGTGTATTCACCAGGCTACCCTGCGAGCAGAGGCTACATTGTGTGAGCTGGCGTGCGAAAAGTAGCCTTTGCCGACAACCGTTCATTTTTTTATCGTACATGCGCGAAATTCGTCACGCGATTCGCAAGCAGAATTAATCGTCAGCTCTGTCGTCAAATGGCGCGAATTCCGCGGGAATAAAAAACATTGCGACAACTCTGATCTGCTATGCAAGACTCACGCAATGTTCTAAACCCGTCAAGAACAGGAAAAACCCGTTTTTAAAATTTATTCGTCCAGATTTCTAGACGGATTTCAACGGTTGTCGGCAGAGGCTACAGCTCACACAGCGAAAATGTAACCTCTGCTTGCAGGGTATCACCAGGCCCAAATTTACCATCACATTTCTGTCAAGCTGTTTTTAGTTAGATCCTTTAGTGTTAACGAGACAATTAGAAGCGGAGAAGGTAGCATCAAATACAGTATTAGAGTCTGGTCATCTATGTATATACCTGCCACTTCCGGTGCACTGATTGACAGCTGCTTCTCTTCAGCATACTTTTTCTTCCCTTCACATTCCCACAATGCACCACCAGCAGCTTTTTTCAATTCGTTATTCTTTGATGTTAGAAGTTTTCGCAACTCAGCGATGGCAGACTCAATTCCATTTATTTCGTTTCTGTTTTCTTCATCAAAAGCTAAAGTCCACAATGTGTTGCACGCATTCAGTCTCTCAATATCATCTTCAGCTTTTTGTAGCATTGAGACAAGGACAGGGATGGCTCCACTTCGAGCAATCTGTAATGAGAAAATAAAATTATAGGTCATACACCACGATTGATCCATAGAATGGTAAATAAGGCATTTTTAATTTAACACAGTTTGGACTTGTACTTCCTGCACCGTAGTTTTTGTTAATGATGAAGATACTTCATTTAAACAAGATTAAAGAAAAATAACTAATACCTGGTGAACTGGTCGCAGGGCTCAAAATAACGGCCGGTCAACGGACAATGTCCGGCCTGATTGTGGACTTGACCGGTCAAACTCCGGTCTTGCCGGTCATTTTGACCGGTAATTTTTGGATAGCAACATTTTTAACATAATATTTTCCATATAGTTATCTCTTAATGCGTATTACTCTATAACGCTGTAATGATTTTTTCTTTGGGTTTTTCGTTTTGCTGCTTTGTACTAAAACCTTTAAAGAAAAAGAACGCCGCAATGAATTAAGTTCATGTGTCGTAATGAAACGCAACTCGCGAAACAACAACAAACCGAGTTGTGGAATAACGCAACGATGCAGCAGGTCGTACCGTACTTTCTGCTTTGCTGTAGTCAGTAATGTGACCTTCTTAGGGAAGCATACACTAACGATAATCCGTTATCCGTTAGAAAATTAAAGGACAGCTAACAGTTTTCGTCCATCTAAGGTTTCACTTCTACTTGCAAGAGGATTGTGAAAGTAACCTTCGACGGAATTCGGGCAAATCGATCGCAATTCTCAACGTGTCGTCCTGTACTGTTTCTCCCGGAATAATCGATTAATTTTAATAAATTCTTTATATCGAACATGAATCTCGTTTGTGGACTCGATTCCAGAATAGTCTGATGAAAATTTAAGCTAATCGAGAACGAACGTCTCCCATCTCGGCACTTAAAATTCTCGTTCTTGTAAACAGCATTATATAAATTTTTGATGACGTTAATGAGTCCTTCGCGATAAAGTTGCGCGACGACCCAAACGAAGGCTCTGCTGTGTATTTATTGAGTCTAATGATAAACACGCTGGTTGTGGAACAGATTTCTCGCCAAATCAACTTCTCTGCCGAAAATATTAAGCGATCAGCTGCCGGGCAACGAAGAAGATTCAGCTTCAGCGATATGCAAATATCATGGGACGAACCTGGGAGACTTGAGAGGTCTTCAGACACCGCCGTACGATGATACTCAAGGTATAACGGACACTGAAAACGGGCGAAAACCGCAAAAAAGGAACTAAAAAACGTGCGAATGAATTTTTCACCAACTTGCCGCCAAAAACCTGAACGTCAGTACAATACAACGATCTTCCATAGGCCAGAAAAAAATATCATACACCTGTAGTATTCATTATTTGACCGGCCAAAATCGGGCTTTGTCCGGGCTAAAAAATATTTGGCCGGTCCTCATGACCGGCGACCTGCTGTCCGTTATTTTGAGCCCTGGGTCGTGCAAGTTTATCACAGGATTACCAGAGCTTAGAGTTTCGCCATCCATTTTAACCATGTGGGTGGGGAGACAGTGGGACACAACGTTATCGTTTAAACGCAGTCTGCTCCCAGTTTATATAAATACCGTAAAATTCCGAAAATAGGCCCCTCCATGTATAAGCCCCTCCAAATATAAGCCCCCCAATCCGGTAACGCAAAAAACCCTCCGTTAAATCGCCCCTCCAAATATAGGCCCCCCGGGGGCTTGTACTTGGAAAATTGCCCTCAAATACAAAGTAAAACAAAGCAAAAACGGTAAATTTACTTCCAACTATATGGCTAGCCCAATCGATTTTGAAACGCAAATTTCCCTCCGTAGATAAGCCCATCGGAATATAAGCCCCTCCAAAAATAAGCCTCTCAAAAAGGGCCTTTGAAAAATATAAGCCCCGGGGCTTATTTTCGGAATTTTACGGTATCCTTCTAAGTGGTCCCTTCTGATAAGGTTCTTTAATCCCATCATCCCGACCCAAACTTTCCTCAATCCCGTAATCCCGATGGTTGTTTTCGGCTATTTCTCACATCCCGTGCATACTTTCAATACCGAATCTCAACCCATTTCGCTTTGGAACTTCAATTCCTAGCCTTCAAATACATAGTGTAAGGCAAATCCCAGATCCCAAAAAACCCACTGGGGACCCCCTTCTAAAACGGACACCGCAGGAAGGAGGTGTCCGCCCAAGAAAGTCAGCGAAAATGACTGAAGAACGGAAGACAAACTCAAAGTGTGACGTTTTTGAGGGCTGTGTCTTTATTTATTCAAGACGTCCAATAAGAGAGAATTGTATTGATGGCTGAAGTAAAGTATTTTACCGTTTTCTTGTTGTTATCATTTACTGCGATTTGATTTAGTCCTTCAGCAAGTTCTGAGGCAGAAAATCCTATGTATCTGTGTCCTGATTTGCTTAACGCTCTCTGCAGCAGGCTTGTAAGGAATTTAATTGGACCTGAAATGAAACAACATACCGGGTAAACAGACTGAGGAAAAAATGAAAACTCTTACAGAGGAAAAACACAAAAACACACAAGTATCTCTAGCCCTGTAACTCAAGAGTGAGCTTCGTAAGAAGAGTTAATTAGGCCCCCAGATTCGTGTGGAAGGGACCCTAAACGATTGGAGAGCGGTTTCAAAAAGGTGTGGTTTGGATTCACTGGTTTCGTTCGGACGTAAGGCTGATTGGTGTAAAAAAAATTGCAGCTTCCAAAATATCTGGATTCGTATGGGCGGGACCTAATGTTACACGGGACGATTCCCGACGACGATTTTTAGCGCAACATAGCGTTGCAATGTTGGAACAATGATGCAACTATTCAGAACCATGTCGCAACAATGTTGCAACACTGTGTTGCGCTAAAACTCGTCGTTGTGAATCGTCTCGTGTAAAATCACCTTAATAATACAGAAGCAGGAAAGAACTCACGATTAGGAAGGTATTTCAAATAATTAGCAAAGACAAATTTAGAAAGTCATGATTTTCTTAAACATGGTTAAAATAAGAAATCTTTAAAAAAAATGCATTGTCAGTTTTAAGCCCAGTAAAGTCATTTACTGTTTTAACCGTACACACTACAATCAAATACTATTAATCTGCATAAAAAACGACTCTGTAAATATTACCTTCATCTGCCATTATTAAATGATTATTCTCTTCATCTGTCAAGTATGCTAAGACAAGGAGACTCTTGGCGCTAAAAAGTGTGACTTCAGCTTTGAGAAGAGGAATAAGTACATCTATCGCTTGACAAGCAGCATAGCTCCTTCTTGTTGGTACACGTTTTGATAAATTGTGAAGGATTCCCAAGGCTCTGGAAAGCATTTTGCCTCGCACTGTGTATTTGGAGAGTTGCCCAGTTTCAGGATTCTTTAAATGACAAATAATGGAAATACATCAGCGTACAGTTGTTATCTTTAGAAAAAATGCGCGAATTAGGTTTAAAAAGTTCCACCCTGGTTCATTTTCCCTTCTGACAGCCGCAATCTAACCTTCTCCTGACTTCCAAAAGTGGCAAAAGGCAATTCAAGTAAACAAAATTTCAAATTTATTTCATTTCAAATTACTAAAAATGTATAGCTCACGCATGTTAAGGCATGGCTTTGTGGCCAATGAGCATAAAATCTTAAAATGATCAAACCTTTGTTCAAGAAAAATTACCAGAACCTTCAAAAATCAGTAACATTACCCAAGTCAAAATTACTGGGATGCCGGGTGGGATAACACTTACGCTTTCCAAAAATTTTTACCTGGGTCACCTCTTTACATTTTAAAATCAGGTCACTACATTTCAAAATGTCTGTTTGAAAATTATTTACTATAATTTGCAACAATTGTACCCAGTCTTGACTCAAGAAATCCCTACATAATCTTTCAACATAAGATACTTCCAGCCTCAAACAGCTTTTTAATGCCAGAGCCTCCTGAGTCCTTGCCCAGGTAACATATTACCAGGGAGTAACTGCCTCAGGTACCCCCTCAACCTTGCCTGTATTGACACTTTCCACTCCATTAACCTTAAAATGAAAAAACCATTTTGCGGTCACCAAAAAGAAAGGATTGCCCCATGCATGGCCAGAATTTAATTTTTAGACTGCAGACAGAAATTTGGCTGCTATGTTCTGTTTTCCTTCTCAATATAAAAAATTGGCATTACATTATTAAGCTATAATTTTACTAGGATATACCACAGGGCTTAAAAAAAAACTTGAATTCCAGATTGTCCTTTGGGCAAGCAGCTCCCACATTTTGCCTGCACAGGGTCACTTCTTGCTCATCTTAGTTAATGATTTAGTTAGGAGATGATCAATAATCTTAGACCATTGCTCATCAGGCAAGTGAAATTTAAAAATTACGTGCCTAAAGCACTTGTCTCGGACAAACAGATGGGATTTTCAAGCCCTGTAACACTGTCATTTACATGGTCATGATCAGTCTTTATGAAGAAGTGCTAAAACATGACTTAGTATAATAATATTGTTTACCTACCATATATTCAACATGGTGAGAAACTGAATCTTGCAATTCCTTAGAAAGTTTAATCAAAATTTTCACCATACCAGCCTCATCACATGCTAAGCAAAAATTGTCATTCAGGTCTGAAAAATTTAAAACTGCTGCCAGAATCTGAGAGACCACATCTTGAGCCAGCTTCAATGAATCTGCATTGTCTTTGTCATCTTTATGATTCTATAACAACAGCCAAAATTAACTTGAGTAAGCAGCCAATTCCAATGTCACCATTGGTTTCCCCATGAAATGACATCTGAGGAAAAACTGCAGAAATTCCATAGTGGTGACGTGTCACTACCCAGATCTGGGAATTGCTTCTGATTAGATGAAGCAAATTAATTTTCAGCCGATCCAAAGCTCTACCATGGCCAGACCTAGGTTATGACCCGTCATCAATAAGGAATTTCTGCAGTTGTCCAGCAGATGTCATTTCATGAGGAAGCCAGAGATGGCATCACAAAATGTTAGTTGTTTTCTCATTCTAAAGCCAAAATTACTGTTATCATACTGTTAATTTCACTCAGTGTATAAATTAACATTTTTTTTATTATTAACGTAACAATTCAAGTTACTTAATACTTATGTGCGAGCAATCTTAAGGTGGCATGGCAGCAGGGGCGGATCCAGGATTTTTTTTAGGAGGGGGTGCACTTGTCTCTTGCTCTACTTCAACACAAATAAACCACATAGTTTTTTTTTGCAGAATACCAGTTTTATTAGAAAACCGCAGGTCATCTCAGGGGGGGCGCACCCCCCCCTGCACCCTCCCCCTAGATCCGCCCCTGGGCAGTAAACCCTGGCTTAACTCAAAAGAGTGGAAGAATGACTACAGTAGTACAGAAGTTTACTGGAAATGGAAGGATGGTAAATATAAAAGGACAAGAAAATCAGAGAAAAAAAAGAATTGAAGCAGGAGAGTTCTTTGAGCAGGAACTGTAACAGAAAATAGCAAACTATTCAAATTATCATATTCTTCACTCTTTTTCCATTGTGTTAACTTGAAGGTCATTAGGGAATTGAAGTCAAAATGCAAGGGGTGCAATGCTCAGAACATCAAAAATACTTACCATTTTTTTGGTACATTCTTTGCCATCCTCAGCATGACATGATGTAAAATTTTGTCATGTGATATTACAAAAAATGTATGTGGAGGAATCAACAAATATGCAAACATTTTTTCTCTCTGTTTCCCAATGTGGATATGTTTGAAAAAAAATCAAATTAATGATGGGGAGTACTTTTCTGAAAAAAATGGCTACCATGCAGTAGTTATGATAGATAATCTTCACTCTGCCATCTTCCTGGCCTATGATAAGATAGCAAGGCTGATGACACATATGCATGCTACCAATGTTGACCTGGTTTATTAAATCCCGGTGTTGATGCCATGTGGGTTGAGTTTGTTGTTAGTTCTCTCCTAATCCTAAAGAAGTTTTTCTTTCGGGAACTCCAGTTTTCTCCTCTCCTCAAAAACTAGCAGGCTACTCTGAAACCAACTAAATTCAAATTGAGCTACCTGTACATAACTGATAGGCTTTGTTTCTCAATTATTAATTGATTATGATTACTGCTTGTCTCACGTTAGTCACTTTGTTATTGTTTAAACAATCAATGAGGCACTCTTGGGTGGCGGGGGGGGGGGGACATATGTCCCTAGTCTGAATTGCAAAATCCATCATTTTGCATTTTTATTGAGGAGGAAGCCTGTCGGTATTTTACTATTGTTTGTCATTGCTGTTGCATTTCCAACCCATCTTTTTGTGTCATTTTCTTACCATTTCAGCTGCCACTAGTTAGAATTTTACCCTAACATTATTCTTTATTGGACCTAATTAATAAAAAACTGAGAATCATGAGACCAAAGCATATCACACCACATCACCAAGAATATCTTTCCTCGTAACATAAAATGAGTCGTCCCCAGTGCACAACACTAATGGACCCACCTACCCACCCCCAACAACCAAAGGCAGACCCCCCAGCCATCACAATTGTCTTATTTCTACTTTCTCCCAAGATTTGTACCTGCTCATTGCTCCTTTCCTCCTCATTCACTAGGT